AAAAGCAATCCCAGTGCTGGGAGGTAGGATAGGAGGCTCCCATGACTTGCTGGTCAGGCAATATACTCAACTGGTAAGCTCTAGAGAGAGGTAAGAGAGACCTTGTCTCAAAAAATAACGTGGAGAGTGATAGAGGAAGAACCATCCAACTTTAAGCTCGTGCGCAGATGTGTACATATGCATGCACGCGTGCGCGCGCGCGCACACACACACACACACACACACACACAAGAATGGCAGAGGCTGGGTGAGCAGGTTAGGAGGAGCTGGTTTGGAAACTTCAACAGTTGGTCTTGGGCACTGCCTCAGGCAGCCTTGTGTTGTGTCTAGTCCTGGGTGATTTGAGTAGGTGGATGGTGGCTGTGATGGTTAATTTCCATCATCAACTTGAGATCTAGAATCACTTGGGAGATGGACCTCTGGGTGTGCCTATGGGAGATTATCTTGATTAGGTTAATTTTGGTGGGAAGACCTGTCTACTGTGGGCAACACCATTCCCTAGGCTTGGGTCTTAGGCTGCATAAAAAGGAGAAAGTGAGCTGAGAACCAGGATTCATCTTCCTTTGCTTCCTGACTGTGGACACAATATGCCCAGCTGCCTCAAGCTCCTAACTTCCCCACATGTTGGACTGCACCCTCGAACTGTGAGCTAAAATGAACCCTTTCTTCCTTAAGTTGCTTTTATCACAGTTACAAGATGTCAAAGTATCAGACATAGGTTCTTCCTTCCTTTTCTGCCTTCCTGGCTTTTTCCATCCTTCCTTCCAACCTTAACACAAGTCACAAGCCTTTCAAACATACCGTCCCCTTCAAAACCCACTATGACTCTAATACTGCTTATACCTGTAAGTCAGATTTGGAAAATGGGAGTATTTCTCCTTCAGATTTTATTTTTCAAAAAATTAATTGTGTAGAAAAAAGAAACACCTTCTTATACCTTCTCCCCTCTGCTGTCCGTTCCCTCCATAGAAACAGCAGCTGTCTGAATGCTGGCTGCATTTTTTAAATCTCTATTTTTATATCTTACTACAGATGCATATGCCCATAAACAATACATCGTATTTTTAAGCTATAAACAAGCATCATACTATACCTAATGTTCCACAGCCCAATGTGTGTTCTTCATTTAAGCTTCTTTTCATAGGTGACTTTAATTACTATATATTTATTTTGATTCCTGACATATTTCTTTTTTTTTTTTTTTTCGGTCTTTTTGAGACAGGGACTCCCTGTAGCCCCACTGTCCTGGAACTCACTATGTAGACCAGGCTGGCCTTGAACTCACAGAGATCCACCTGCCTCTGCCTCCTAGGTGCTGGGATTAAAGGTGTGCGCCACCACGCCCAGCGATTGCTGACATATTTCTACCACCTAATTTAGGGTATTCCTTCTGCCACCCCTCTGTTCCCCCTCTACTGATGTGGTTATATTCTTAACCTTTTATTTATTTTATTTTTAAAAATATTTTATTTATTATTTCTATTTTATGTGTATGAGTGTTATGCTTGCATGTATGTAAGTGCACGAACGTCATACAGTGCCTGCAAAAGACAGAAGCAGAAGAGGGCATTGGATCCCCTGGAACTGAAGTTACAAATGGTTGTTAGTCGCCATGTGGGTGCTGGGATTTGAACCTGGGTCTTCTGCAAGAACAGCCAGTGCTCTTAACTGCTGAGCCTTCTCTTCAGCCCCACCCTTAACATTTTAACAGGCATTCTAAATTATATTTATTTTTCTCTTGATATCTAACCATTTTCAGCATCTTTCTCCTCTATTGATATGATGAGAATTTTAATGACATTTAATGATACCTGATATTTGCTGTATATGTTTTATTGTGTCCTAGAATTTTGACTCTAAACTTTTTAGTTGCTATGATTCTTGTTTTCTGGTTAGCAACCAATTGTTTGCCAACAGATTTTACCACTGTCTTTGCTCATCATCATTTTTGTACCCCATTCATTTTTTAGGGTTCACTTTTCTTGGTGAGTTAATTCTTAAGTTTTACCCTATAGATATAGTGAGGGTCAAGGATGGGCAGCTCTCAACATTTGGATGTCTTAAGCTGTGACTGTTTTCTTCCCCCTGGAGTTTACCAGGGTGCAGGCTTTTAGGCAGACCATTGTTTTCCTTCTGAACTTCATTGCTCGGGTCTCTTATTGCTCCAGAAAGGTCAACTGTCTACCTAGTTATTGACTTCGTGTGTGTTTGCCTGTATTTTCTTAGTAGCTCCTAAGACCCAGGCCTAAAACAAGTCTCTTCTTATTTTTATCATACCTTCTTAAAAAATTATTTATTTTTATTTTATGTGTATAAATTTATTGCCTGCATGTGTGTAAGTGCATCCATATTGAGCAATGCCCATGCAGGCCATAAGAGGGCATAGGATCCCCTGGAACTGGAGTTATGGGCAGTTGTTAGCTGCCATGTAGGTGCTGGGAATCAAACTTAGGTCTTCTGCAAGAGCAGCCAGTGCTCTTAACCACTGAGCCACTTCTCCGACCCCTCTATCAGACCTTTTTGGGCAGATCATGTCACAAGGCCAGCCCAGATTCAGGAGAAGGGAAAGCAGGCACCACCTTTTGATGGGAGGTGCCACAAAGTCACATGATTAAGGCCCTTCATATGGAAAGGAGGCTCAGTTAGGACCATTTGCCTTCTCCTGTAGCTGCCTCCTGGTCTGGGGTTGGGGAATGGGTGTGGGGTGGGGCTGCAGCACCAGGTGGCTGCTTGGTAGGACTTCTCTCCAGCTTCTGAGGAGAGGTAGCTGTTCCCTACCTGCCTGGCCCCAGAACTGTCTTTTGAGAGAGACCCCAAGAAAGGAGTGGAAGGGGGAAAGAGTGATGTCAAGAAGACACGTGTTGTTGCAACCACTACACTTGAGGGGCTGCAAACAGCACCCATTTTCCTCTTCGTAGTTTCCTCTTTCCATTTTAGAGTACAGAAGTCAAGGTTATGCTCTCTCTGAAGGGTCTAGAAAATCCATCCTTGCCTCTTCTTGCTTTCAGGGCTCTGGGTTTTCTATGACACACACCCATATGACTCTAGTGTCTGCCTCTGACCACACTGTCCCTCCTCTGTCTGTCTGCTATCTTTGCCTCACTCAGGAGATATAGGTTCACCTGGATAGTCCCACAGGCTCCTCTCAAATTCCTTATGTGACATTCACTCTCTTACCATGGAATTAGGTCCTGGACATACCTTTTGGGGTCCTATTCATCTTTACAACTGTTGACTTCAAGCCAGGGACTGGGCACCAGCATTGAGCAGTGCGGACAGTGGGCTCTGTGTCCTCAGACTCAAGGAAACCACAGGGCACCTTAGAAGTTAGACTCTGTTGCTACTCACTGTTGGCAGTTGAAAAAATAAATTCTCATGGGGCTGAAGAGATGGCTCAGTGGTAAAGAGCATTGACTGCTCTTGCAGAGGACCCAGGTTCAATTCCCAGCACCCACATGGCAGCTACGAACCATCCTTAACTCCAGTTCCAGGGGAATCCAACGTCCCCTTTTGACCTCTGTGGCATTGCACAACACGGTGCACTCACATACATGCAGGCAATACACTCATACACATAAAATAAAAATAATAAATAAAATATTTTTAAAAAGAAAAAATGGACACTCAAGGGTCAGATGTGCCCACTGTCACACCACCAGGAAGTCACAGACCTGGGCTTTAGACTCCGATGGTCTGGTTCCCGACTGCTCATCCCCACAGCTTCTTCTTGCCAGCTAGAAGGAGGGGCAGGGATCCTCCCTTTGGCAAGGTGCCCGGGAAGAGGTGCAGGGGTGAAGGGGGGAGGATGAGAGCTGGGTTCTGAAGATGGTGAACTATAGCTGCTGTCTCTCCCCTTCACTGTCAAGGCAGTCCTGTGTTTAGGTCTCGAACCCAGCCCACAGCTTCCCTGCCCTGTTATAGAAGGAAAGCTACTCTGAGGACTGACTTTGAACCTTCAGTGCCTATAGAGTTTACCGGTATCTGAGAGACTATCACAGTTACTTTGTGGATGCAAGGGCCTGGATTCCGGCATCTGGGGAGCCTGGAGCCCAACAATGTCCCATGCCACATTCCTTCCTGACCAGCAGGAACCAGAAGTCTCAAACTCAGCATCACGTCCTCTGGGTTTTTGCTCAGTGATTTGGACTCTGGCCCTGCACCCTCCTTGCCTGGGGCTTAGAACTCAGTCCACCTGGATGGGTTACTGCAGAGAGGGAGGAGGTACTGTGTTCTGTGTGAAAACTATCCAGTTATCAGGAAACTTCTTCCTGCACTCCCCGCCCCCATGGTCACCTGAAAGGTAGACAAAGCTTTAGCTTGTAGGTGGAAGATGGACAGTTGGAGTGCAAGATGAAGGCCTGTTCAGGGGAGGCGGGGAGCAAAGATGCTAAGGTGGGAAGAGGTGGAAGATGTCTGAAAAGTGCCAGCTGTGATGTGGCTGGGATGTGGATGCCTGAGGTGGGTGAGGGAGGGGCTGGAGAAGGGCAAATTCCCAGGCTGAAAGCATGGAAAAGTATTTTATAAAGCACAATTATCTTTCAGTCGCAGCAATTCTCTGCTGATACAGATATTTGCACCTTATTTTTTTTAAAAAAGGAATGTGATGATTAAAAAAAAATGATAGTAGGCACCCTAGTGTTTCATGATGTACCAGGCGCTGTTCCAAGTTTACGCCTATTTGCTCATTTCCACTGATCCTCCCACCAACTCTGGGCAGTAGGTCTCATTATTCCCTCTTCCAGGAGAAGAAAGAGGGTGCTGTGGTGTTGAGTGATGAGCCAGATCTCACAGCTAATCTGTGAATGTCACATGACTTGAAGCTCAAGTTAAAGGAAGTTTGAAAGTGGCAGAGCACCTCAGAGCTCCTCCTTGCCACAGTCCCGAATGGCACTAACATTCTGAACTGAGCAGAAGGTCATCTGTGAAAAGTAAAAGACCTTCAACCTGAAGGAATCAAGGCAGTGGCCAACCCTGAAGCTGGGCTTCTGCATTTCCCCAGCATGAGATGGTGGGCATCACAGCAGCTCTATGGGGCCTGGGAGGGCAGGGGATTGAAGGTGAGTATGGAGTCCAGGCTTAGAGCGGTACCCAAGGCAGGTATGCAGCAGAGCCTGTGGGAAGGGGAAGGGCATCTTGCTGCATGACCTCCTTGCTCCACCCTCTTAGGAAGCCTATCCCCGCTTCTTTCTCACTGAGAGCTGTGCTCTCCTACCCTTCACCCATCCTGACTTCTGGGGCACCAGGAAAGGTACAGTAAGATGCCTGCCTGGGATTGACTGTGTTCTTGCCCTACTGCATTGCATATCCTTGCTGGGCCTTGGTAACAGGAGAACACAACTGCCCAGGCAGTGCCCCATCAGCACATGTTATCTGTTCTGTTACTCTTTACCACCTTCCCATATACTGGCTTTGTCTCCTACTAACAATGGCTTCAACCTTGTTTGGGGCAGTGATGCTGGGAGATGAGGAGGCAGGGACCATGTCAGCCTTGACTTTTTCATCTCCAGCTCCAAGGTGGTGACAAAGTCAGTGCTCAAAGAATGACTGAGGTCCTGGGAGTCAGGAGATCAAGTTTCAGTCAACTAATTGTAGGTCCACGAGAAAGTCACTTAACTTCTCTGAGCCATATTTCCCATTCCTAAAGTAGGTAGAATAAGGCTTGTTCTGAGTTACAGACGTAGGTGACTGCAAGGATCCAAGGGAGAATGTGACATGTTTTTGTAAACTGGAAAAACCTTAATGCACAGCATCCTTATCACTTGCGATATGATAACCACCGTGGTTAGTACTGGCTGGAAGAATTTATAGCTTTGGTGAATCTTACTTATCTCTCTAAAACAGGGAATGCTTTGGCACATGAAATGAGGCACCTGCAGAAGACAGGGCTCAGCAGAGTGGAGGTGTTTACTGACAGCCACTTCTGCTGGCACCAGCATTCGGTTAACACTCAATCGATGGGTAGCTAAGGAACCATCTTTCAACAAATAGTTCTAACTCATGAAGGTACAGGGTGACACGCAGTCTACAAGCTAGAAAGTAGACCAGAACCTTGAAGACTTAGGAGGTCCTACCATCCGTGACTCCATGGAGCTGCCTGGATGAATGAGTGTGGGGAGTGGGGGGTCAGAACGGGGAGTTGGGCTGAGCAAAGACTCCTAGCATGATGGTGAGCTGGCACTTTGAACATGGGTACACATGGTCATCGGGGTGCTCATTAAACAGGGACCAGCCAGACAGAGTTTGATATGGTAGGTTTAGAATATAGCTTAAGACTGCAGTTTAATAAGGAGGCTCTGATGATGAGGTCTACGCTTTTGGAAAGGACCACCCTGTGCTCTGGGTGGGTCTCTAAGCCCTAGCTTCCGGCTCTTAAAAAGTAACCAGAGCTCCTAACAGTATATACAATACAGTATTTGCTCCATATTTACTTATTGCAGATGTTATTTTTAAGGACCTTATGCTTTAAAAGGGTGAATTGTGTTTTATATGAATTGTATCTCAATATATCTGTTTAAAAAACATGTACTGAACAGAATGGGAGTGTGCCAATCCGAATTTTTGGTGACATTTTCAGATGGAACGGGACGTTTTTGTGTAGAAGGAAGGTTCCTGTGGTTTGTGATCTGGAGCTGAGGCTATTGCTCCTCACTGCTCTAATTATGGTCCCCGAAGCTCTCAGTGGGAAGCAAAACCAAGAATATTCTTTCTGAAGCTCTCGTGTGCTACTCTAGAAGGTCTGTTTTGCAAAATTAATCAGCTTTGGGCCAGTTTCGCCTCCTGGACCGGCTGGGATTTCTGAGCTCTGTCGGAGCCAGCATGCTTAGGGACAAATCATTTCTTCTCGTGTGTATTTCCAGTGCATTAGCTTCAGCCTTCCGGCGTGCCAGGCCCAGGAGTGGGATGCACAATCAGAGACTTGGTTCTTGCCCAGAAGGGAGGACCAAAAGAAAAAAAAAGGAGAAACAAAAATAGCAAACATATATCTGCAATATGAAGGAACAGAAGTAGTGCAAGGTCCAGTGAGGGTCTCGAGAGACTAATACCAACCAAGAGGAAACTAGACAGAAAATCAATTGCAAAATTTCTAGGCGTAAACTACTCCCTAAAAAGTAATTAGAAATATTAAATTCCTCCTTTCTCCAGCATCAATGAATGTTGGTCATTGAGGAAACACAGTGGAAAATTCTAGACCAAATCCTTTGCTCCAAAACAGCCACTCAAATCTTGGTTGCAGCAGGCTGGGAGGGTCTTGTTGGGAGATTGCTTCCAGGCTTTGGGATCTTGTTTGTCTCTCTGAAGCAGAGGATGCCCGGACAAGTGAAATGAGGTAGGTGCTCTGCAGGAGACAGGACCCAGGAAGTGTGGCATTTATCCGCAGTGTTTCTACCTTAACCCAAACCTCTCTGAGCATCAGGTCCAACTTGCTGAGCAGTGTGAGTCCAAACTTAGGCGCTTCCTGTGTTTGTGTTGCTAGCAGTCGTCCTGGCAGCAGTCCCCAGGGATAGATAGTTATGGAACTCCCAGAGCCCACATCATTCTGTCTTCCTCCTCACAGCTCTTTATAAAGCAGCCAGAAAAGGAGTCCGTGTGCTTATTAGATGAAGCCCATGAAGCCCATGCAGAGAGGCAGAGCACCTTGCTCAGTGCCACCCAGCTGCATCCACACCATGCCCACCTCTGGCTGCCAAGTGCTAGACTCTCTGTTGCAGATGTATTTACCTACTTTGTGGCAGGTGGAAGGTAGCTTGCTAAAAATAGGAGCTGAGCACTTGTGTGGCAGCTTCAGTCTCCTTTCCTCCAGTCTTCCCCTCTCCCATCAAACCAATTAACAGTCAGGAGTTGTCCCTAGTGCTGGGGCAGGTTTATTTGATTGTTACGACTGTTAGTCTTATTTGGTCGTATTTCCCGAGTGATACCAGAAGGAGTGCTTGTTCAAGTAACCCCTTTTTAAAATACACTCAGTAGCTCAACCAGGGGCTTTCCTGATGGCTGACTGGTTTGTGGGGGACTTGACCTGAGATTGCCTATCCAGGCAGCCTGGTGCCAGGAAGCCACAGTATTGGGGGCTTCACACCTGCCTTCAGCCCAGGCAACACTCACCTTGAGGGCTTACCCAGTTTCCTACGGGAAACGCAGCAGCCTGGGGGACACATGGCCAGCCCTTGGCCCACAGTGGCCTTGATAGCCCACTGTAGCATGAGGTAAATGATGGACTCCTTGCAAAGCTAGTGTAATTGTTAAAGGCACCCCTTCACTTTGTGATGATGCCCTTCCTTCCCATCCCTTCCTGTCTTATCTTGTCCTCTTAAAAATTAAATTGTGGGGGCTGGGGATTTAGCTCAGTGGCAGAGCGCTTGCCTAGCAAGTGGAAGGCCCTGGGTTCAGTCCTCAGCTCTGAAAAAAAATAAATAATTAAAAAAAGACAAAATAACAAAAATCAAATTGTGGCAATAGGTAATGTTGGGATTTATTTTATGTTGAAAAATTGATACTGACCTTTATTTAAGAACTTTGTTCATTAAAAGACATTACCTTAAAAATGAATAGTCAAGCCACAAAATGTCAGCTCATGAGATTAAACCTAAGTTTTGTTCATTAAAAGCCATTACTTAAGGATTTGCCACTCTTGCAGAGGACCCAAGTTCAGTTCCCAGAACCCATATAAGCCAGTTCACAACTGTTTGTAACTCCAGGTTGGGGGGGATCCATCGCCCTCTTCTGGCCTCTGAGGGCACTGCACCCATATGCACATACATGTGTATACGTAAGAACTCATTGATTATATTGAAATAACTTTGATCAATCAATCAGAAAAAAACAAAAGTAAATAATTGAGTTTTACAGAGTTGAAAAGATACCTTCATGTAAAATTATATTTCTCTTTTATAAAAATGATGTCCAAATGGCTGGAGCAAACTTATACCCAGCATTCATATTTACCACAGAAAAGCAAGTGAAATGTTTCATGGTACTACCGCTACACAGACACCAGAGTAGCCGCTCACAGCAGTGAGTGCTAGTAAGGACTTGGTACAGCCAGAAAGTTTGTTTCTTAATGTCCTGGAAAAAATTGACAACTACCCTGGTGTCTTGATTCTTCTGTTGTTGAAATTGTGTTTCATGGCACCCCAGGGTCTGGGCATGGCTACCATAAAGCGTGTGGATGTCGGCAGGTGGAAGAAGTCAGTTCTGTTGTGTGGGATTGGGGGATTTGGAGCAAAGAGTAGCATCTGAGCTGTGTGCAGGAAGGCCATGCCAGAGGTGCTCACCAGAGGACAGGACAGCCAGGACCAGCTTTCCATGCTTGGGAGATCACTGTGGACACAAGGAGGATAGTGGAGGGGAGGCATGGCCTGGAAGTAGAGGCACCTGCAATAACCCAAGGGAAAGATGGTGAAGCCAGGCCAGTGTAGGGTGGGGAGGCAGAGTCCTTCCAAAGATGCTCAGGAAATGAACTCAAGACTGGACTGGGTGTGAGCGGTCATGTGAAGCCACCTCTCAATTTTCTAGTGTCAGGACCTGCAGGGGGGCACATTAACACCAATGCTAATTCAAATGAGGACACTAACAGCGGTGAGTGCTGAGGTTTCCTGGGCACTTGCTGAAAACCATCCTTGTGAAGAAAGCTTGCATAGAGAAAACCGCCCCATGTCTAAATCGGGAGCCCCTCTTTATATGTCTCTCATTATCCCTTCTGCAACACTGGTTGAGCATCTGAGGATGGCAAGGATCAGGTTTGGACATGTGGGCCTGAGTGGTAATGCATGGCCTGGAGCTGGGAGAAGCCAGTGGAGACAGCTTTGGGGGACACTGATTTGTGGGTATTGCTGCTGCTGAGGAAGGTGAAATAGTCTAGAATCTGCCTGGGGAGAACTTTTTCCCAGCAGAGTGGGAGGTGGCTCGCTTTCGCAGCCCTCAATGCCCTCTTTCTAGCTCTGACAGGAGGATCTGGCTGTGTATTTCCTGCAATTGGGCCTGGAGGGCCTAGAGTCACTGAAAGGGAAGGTTTTAGGGTCTGCCTGGCCCTTTCTTTTATTCTTTTCATTAATTCTTTCCT